TGTTGCGTTCTTGAAGTAACCAACCTTCAGATTGACTCATCAAATGTTCGGAATAAACTTTAATTCAATATCTAGAGCAATGATAATTTCGTTATACCGAATCTTTCGGAAAAAATTAGGTTCCGGAGAAACAAAAAAGTTCATAAAAATATCAGAATAAGAGAATTGTGATTTAAGAATTGTTGACATTCGGAAATACAAATCGTCTGAGAAAAAAAATGAACATCTGGAGAAACGAAAGTTCTAACAAACTATTGGAATACGAAAATCGACCATTCAGGTCATACTACACAGCACCAAGGAAAATGTCACCGTAAGAACACAGCCTAGAGATGTCAGCATATTTGTCTTGAAGGCAATGCTTTACGAAGCTACAAGAGAAAGGTGTCAGAATCGGATATTTGCAGAGGGATGTATCAAATTTAAACAGCCACTTTCATGAATGCACTCGGCCTTATCATTTGACAGATGGGTAAATATGGAAACTAATTGCTAGCGACATACATTATGCATGCGGATAGCAATAGGTCCGTCGATTCTCTTGAGATATCACGTCAATTATATCTCCCAGTCAAGTCAAAGTTGGCAACCTATTAACTTAGCCTACCTCAGTCACATCAGTGAGACCGAAAGGAGACTAGCCTTTTGACAAGGCCTCGTGACTCTGGCTATTTTCTACCCTAATCAGCGGCTGAGATGAGCCCAGAGATCCGGGTGAACGCACGATCGAGTGGCTTTAGCCGCGAGGCCTGTTGGATTCTGACTTTTACTGCTCTGCATGAATTATTCATGAATTTTGATTTAATGACCAATCAGAATGGCCATTTCCCAGTTGATTTCGTTCGTGATTAGTTTTTCAAAACATGTAAGAAAAAGTAAAAAAAACGTTAACTAGTTTTGCTTATAAGATGAACATATAAATGATTAATACAAAATATCACATCCAAATCTATTTTACATGCAAAGTTACAATAAAATAGGAAGCATTTGATGACTTGAGCTAACAATTGTAAGTGAGATAATTGGACTTAACCTGTATATAAAATGAACCAGTCCAACTCGTTTCGTTCAATGTTATAGGTATTCGTACTACGTAGAGTTTACTGTGAACGTGATGGATAATATATGCTGACGTCACGCGATGATAAGTTCGGTGATTGGACGCTACCATTTCGGTAGAGAATTCAAGTCGGAAACAAGGGTTAACATGATAAATCCAAACCAGATTACTAAAGGCCACTTGGCTGGGCCACTCCCTTTACATAAAAACCTAATGGTAAATGAATGGTGTTTGAATGGTAACGTCAATGGTAAACGGTATTTCAATGGTGTGCCAATGGTAGATTCTGTATGGTGAATGGTGTTTCAATGGTAGATTCTGTATGGTGAATGGTGTTTCAATGGTAGAGTCTGTATGGTGAATGGTGTTTCGATGGTGGAATTGTATGATCAATGGTGTTTCAATGGGGCGACTGACGGTTAATGGTGTTTCAATGGTGGAGTTTGTATGGTGAATGGTGTTTCACTGGTAGTGACTTTGAGAAAACTAGGTGTCCCTTATACTTTGAACTACAATGCTCTGTGATTTCGCTTTATTTTTCAATAATTTGTCTTCATGATCAACGTTTCAAAGCTGACAAACTGCAAGGAATAATACCCTAGTCCTCAGGAACAATGACGGATCTTTAGTTTTTTTCTTCAATTTGGAGTAATTTTGGATCTGATATGTGTCTCTTTAATAATAATAATAATAATAACAATCTTTTTAGTCCACTCCAAATTTTATTAAACCGAAAATGGAAATTCGTTTTGCCAAATTGATCGTGAGCCCGGCAGCCACTGAGCAGCGCCAGATCGACGTCGCTCTATCCCCTTATTGTTGAACGCCAAACAAGGTAGCAGCAACACCCGTCTTTTAACGTCTTTTAGTATGACGCGGACAGGGTTCGAACCCACGACCTCCCGGTTGTTAGGCGGACGCTCTACTGACTGAGCCAACACACCGTGAGTAACTGTTGTTTTTATTCCTGTGGTCCCACTTATATAACTCTGTGATGTACATTATTATACATTTGTTTACATGAAGAGTTGAACAGCCTGTTATTGTTAATTAAAACAGCTTTAATATAAATCATTCTATTTTATTAAAAAAATTGAAATATTACGGTATTACGGGCACACCTTTATAACTTTTATCAAGTTATTTATCTGATAGTAAACAATTAACAATTATTAATAAAGCTGAATCCCAAGTTAAAACAATAGGTTGCGGAATTCCTAAGGATCTATTCTCGGCCCTCTTTTGTTTTACGGTAGATTTATATTAATGACATGCCATGTTCAACCCATAATTTGCGTTATATTTTATTTGCAGACGATACCAGTGTATTTTGTAAAGTTTGTGATCCTACAACTTTATTTCATTTCGTAAATACTCAATAAATTTAAGTACCGGTATGTGAATGAAATCCAATGAGTTTAAATTAAATACTAATAAAATTAATTACATTATGTTTGGAACTAATACCAAAATTCCAATGGATTTAAATTTGTTCTATTCAAATAAAAAGATAACTCGGGTGTCAAGTACAACATTTTTAGGAGTAATTGTAGATATGGAACCACCATATAATTCATCTTTGTAACACTGTCTAAATATATTGGTGTTTTATTCAGATTGAATTTCTTACCTCAGACTGTTTTGAAAATGTGATATCAAGCCCTCATTTCTTCCCATTTTAGTTATTGTAATATTGTTTGAGGTTTCACTTCTAAAAGAAACATTTCACAATGCAATCGCATAAAACTGGTCTTTATCTCTAACCCTGTGTACCAAGATTATTCTGTTCCCCAAGGATCTGTTTTGGGGCCAGTCTTATTTACAGTGTATACGAGTCCTCTGCGTAATGTGATAATGGAGCACAATGTACAGTACCATTTTTACGCAGATGACACTCAATTGTACTTACGGTTAAAACCATCCCAATGTAATGTTGATATTGGTATAAAAACTCTTGAGTCATGCCTTAGGTCGGTTAGTCAGTGGATGAATGATAACTTTCTGAGGTTAAATGAAGACAAAACTGAGTACATGTTGATTGGATCTGCCAGGCAGTTGAGTAAATTTTCTGCACAAAAGATCATGATTGGCAACTCAGAAATAAAATGTGTTAATCAGGTTCGTAATCTTGGAGTTTTGTTTGATGCTGGAATGACCATGAAATCTCAGATTTCAAATGTTGTTAGTTCAGCATCATTCCATATTCACAATATTTGGAGGATCAGAAAATATCTGAATCAGAAAGCCACTGAGCAGATTGTTCATTCTTTTATTACATGTCGTTTGGATATGTGTAATTCACTGTATATTGGCCTTCCTCAAAATCAAATAGCCCGTCTGCAACGAGTTCAGAACATGGCAGCTCGGCTCGTCACTCTCCGCAGTAGATCAGACAGTATTTCAGATATATTAAAATCTCTTCATTGGCTATCAGTCTCAAAAAGAATTATGTATAAGCTGTTACTCATTACTTACAAAACACTTCTTCATTCTTCACCCCATTACTTGTATCAGATTTTGAAACCGTACGCCCCACAACGGAATTTACGTTCAGGTTCACAGCTCCAGTTATGTACACCCAAAACCAATAACAAATGGGGGGACAGGGCTTTTGCTAACGTTGCACCCAAACTATGGAACACTTTACCACTAGAAATAAGACAATCATCATCAGTCGAAACATTTAAGAAGAAACTTAAGCACCATTTGTTTATGTCATAGTTTTAATATTGTAAAATTATGTCGTAGTTTGTATAGTGTATAATTATGTCGTAGTTTTAATATTGTATAATTATTTTTGATGTTGTACAAGAGCGCCTTGAGCAGTCTTTTAGAATGGATATGTGCGCTATATAAATTGACATTATTATTATTATTATTATCTTTAAGTTTTTTTCTGTAATAATTTTTTGATATTTTTTCTTACAATGTATAACCTAATAATAATTTTGGACGTTCATTTGCATAATCACCAATGGTAGATATTTACACCATTGAAATTTGAATATGAAATATGCAAATTTTTTACCATTAATCTGCCATTCACCATCGGCATACCATTCACAATTGGCCTACCATTCACCACCCACCATTGGCTACCATTGATAAATCATTTACCATCCACCATTGGTATTTCCATTGGTATACCATTCACTGTCCACCATTCGTGTACCATTGGCACACCACTCACCGAACACCATTGGCCTACCATTGGAGAATGGTGAATGGTATATATGCCAATGGTGAATGGTAGATTTATGGTACAAAATTTGCATATTTCATATTCAAATTTATATGGTGTAAATACCATTCATCTACCATTGATTGGTGATTATGCAAATGAGCGTCCAAAAAATTATTATTAGGTTGAAAGGTATTTCACTGGTAGATGAATGGTGCCCAATGGTACATTGCGAGCATAATCTCAATGGTATCCGAGTGGTATTTAAATGGTGTTTGTGAATGGTATCTGTATGGTATTTTCAGTGGTATTTCCGAATGGTGTACCATTGGTATACCATTGAACATTTTTTTTGTAAGGGTCGCTCTGGCGTTCACTCGGATTTTCGCGATTAGTCTCTTTTTAGTCGCTCGGCGTCTATCAGACATGAGGCCTTGTATAAAGGCTAACACGAGACTGACTGCAGACCGTACAACAATAACCTTTCTTTGATTGGCCAAGTAATGTTCGTCTTGGAGTCAATGAGGAGTCGGTTAAGCGGTGTGACTGAGGAGTAAGAAACAAAGGTTTAAACATGGATATAATATTCATGATTTAAACAATATGATGAGCCTGCAACTACGTCACTAGAAGGATCTAGACTTTGTTCGAAATCCTCGAAATCCGCTTCCTTAGCATGCTCACACTCGCGGTTTATTTTTACCATAATAATTGTGATCTAGAGGAGAGAGAGAGAGAGAGAGAGAGGGAGAGGGAGAGAGAGAGAGAGAGAGGCGGGTGCTTGCGTTTGTGTGTGTGGGATATTTAAAAATACCCATGATGTATACATGTGATGCAATTAAGCCACAGAAATGCACAGAGAACGGCTTACATAATTATATGCCAATGTCACATGATTTCATTCAGTTCAGCAAAACTATAGTAAAGGTCGTGTATTCATAGCGTCGATTCGGTTGCAAGGGATATAAATTCGCAAGCAAAAATGGCCAGTAAGTACATATTTAAAAATGTTTAGGTAGTTTAAAACGATCGTTAAACTTTCAAAAATCAACCTTAAGAAGGCAATATAATCTCGATAATTTACCTCGTATGTCATCTGGCATGCCTATTGAAATGTGCAAACATTGCAACGTTATAAACCGTAATCTGAACATAATTAAGCAATATGTCATAGCTTGTTTTATGTTCCTCACTTTCATTATCGTTTTGTCCCGTGTTTCCTGTATGTCGGTGTGTATATTCCTTCCGGTTCTCGTGTTTCTTACCATTTTTGATTATCTACATCTAGTCTTTTATTTTCCTCATTTTCATTCAATCCTTTTCTTTTCTATCGTCTCATTTCCTCTTTAACTTTCCCTTTAACTTTGTCATTGATTTTACAACAAAACGATTATATGCTTTTTAGTAATATTATTGATACTTACCGGGAATATTGTACTTGATGATACTATCATTAAAAAATATATCTTCTACGAAGTTTCTGGGAATAATAGTAAACGATAAACTTTCAAGGAAGCTGCTTATTGATAATGTTTGTAAAATAATCTCTAGAATTATTGGCAAATTGAACAAGGTAAGATTGTATTTTCCACCTCGTGTATTGCTTAATTTGTACTCAACTTTAGTACTACCTTACTTGCATTATGGAATACTTGCGTGGGGCACCTGTGGAAATACTTAACTCGCTAGAATTTTACTATTACGAAAGAAAGCAACAAATGAATGCGAATCATATCTTACACCAATTTCCGCGCTCATATTCATGAACTCTTTCACGCAAATAATGTTTTGGAGATACACGAGTTATTTTCTTATAATCTTGGTATATTTATGTACACACTTCAGAAGAATGAATTGTCTCAAGTACTCTCGAATACGTTTAACAAAAATACTGAATTCCATAGTTATCCCACGAGATTAGCAAGCTCTTATCACCAACCAAAAACAAAAACGGTATTTTCCAGCAGGATCTTTACTTTCACTGGCCCCAAATATTGGAATGCCCTTCTCGGCACATTGAAATAAAAACCCTTATCAATTGGATTTAAAAAATGCCCTCAAGCGCTTTTTGTTGCAGACGTAGCATCAGAATAACTCGTTCCCCAGTTTTTCTTTTTTGGCCAGACTGTCCATTTTTCACATCGAAATTGTGACTCGTGTATGATTTGTTTCCATATCTACTCGAAAATGATTCCTCCATGGCCACCCCCCCTCTCTCTCTCTCTCTCTGTCTCTTTCTCTGTCTTTCTCTGTCTCTGTGTGCCTCTCTCTTTCCTCTCTCTTTCTACCCCTTTCTCTGTGTGTCTATGTATCTCCCTCTACCCCCTCCCTCTCTCTGTTTTCTTTTGCTTCTCTTGCCGTTTTTCCTCTTTCCCTGCTTGTCATTCTCTCACCCTCATTTTCTTCATCTACCATCCTGTCTTCTCATCCTGCCTCTGTTCTTATTTGTTTTTGTTTCGTTTTTTGTGTCCGGCGTGTTTCTTAATTTTTGTCTGTAATCATTGCTATGTATAATTTGCTTAATTATGATTAATCATCAGACATTACTTGTTGATATTTTATGCATATTATGTCACCGAAGTTTGTTTATATTTATTGTGATGCAGAAGAAAATAAATCAAATCAAATGTACCTTGCATGTACAATTCACAGCTCAGTCTTTTCAATGATAAAGAGTACGATTTCCATTTTGCAATAAGGGTGACACATATCCTTTCATATTTCTGCAGCCATGGACGAGAGCGAGAAGCTAATTGAATGTCATTCTGAACAGGGGGTTACGTCAGCAGCCGGCTACCCGGTATATTCTGGCTACCCTCCACAACAGACCTATGTCATGCCTGAAGCCCCGCCTACCTATCAACAATCCTTTGATACCCCACAAACGATCGTGGTAGTAAGCTTGAATATGTTTGCATTTAACACATTTAAGAGGAGCTTTAGAAGAATATCCGAGACAAAGATATATAATAGTCCCTTTAAAGGATTGAAATAATAACTCATATCATGCGCATGCGTATTCAATTTTCTAAGAATGCATGCAAAATGACTGACTTTGAAAATTAAAGCTATTCAATGGAAAACAAATCAAAACTTGCGGTAAATTGGACCTATGCGATGTTGATTATCATCATCGTCATCGTTTTGCTTATCTTTCATTTTTCTGCAAATAAATTTGTCAGCGAATTCATCCAACACCCAACCTATTAACTATTTGAGCTCTCCCGATAGGCATGCGATGATATTATGAAATGAACTGTCTGGAAGCAAAAATAAAAGATTGATAATGCAGTACATAGAATTTATGCTTTTTGAGGTATTGGAAAGATAAAAAATGTCTTGTGGAAAATCACATGCATTGCACATCGAAATACTAGGTATATGGGACAACCAACAAAGGTAGCATCTCTAATAATTGGTCTATACTTTGAAGTAATTTCTCGTAATTCTTTTTAAATACGAGAGTATTTGAAGAGCACTGCTTTAAGAGAACAATTTACGAGGATATTCATTCTTCCAAACTTCATAAGATGAAAGAAAAAGCTCACAAATTATGCTGTTGTAATCTTTACCAGAACTCAACCCTCTCTACTTTTCTTTCCTAATCAGCCTACTGCTCCTCCACAAACCTCGGGGATGATTAGACAGGCCCCATCACAGCCCGTTAGAGATTACACTGTGTTCGCTGTGATCGTCACCCTGTGTTTTTGTTTACCCTTCGGCCTTGTGGGAATCGTCAAAGCATGTGAGGTATGTGTGCTTGATAATAATGATGATGATAACGATATCAATTACTAATGATAATGATGATTATAATGATGATGATGATGCCGACGATGATAATAATAATGATAGTCATGATAGAAATATATAACAATTATTATAATAATAATAATAGTAATAACAATAATAATAATAATAATAATAATAATAATAATAATAATAATAATCTGATCTTATTGCTAAAATTAACAATTAGTTTTGTTTTCGATCATTACCACAGGCCAGAAGTCAACAAAACTCAGGAGATGTAGAGGGCGCTAGACAAGCTGCTAAGAGTGCTTACAACTGGTCCTTGACCGGTTTGATTTTTGGGGTTGTGGTTATGCTAGCTGTCATCATCTACTATGCCGTCGTCCTCCTAATATGAATACATCGACTTTTCATAAAGAAGCATAACTAACCATAATATATATATCTGAAGATGAACTTACATGTAGTTTAATCAACTTGTTTGTTTTCGTCCGCGCATAGGTTACTTTTAAAGGAATACGACAAGGGCCTGATATACACTCTCATCTTTTAGAGTTAGTTCAAATAAATCTATTCGCCCACGCAAATATATACATTTTGAGTAAATCAACCTTGCCCATTGTACAGGATTCTTTGACTTACGGAAAAGCCATGAACGCCGGTAAACGTTGATAAAGAATAGTCAGATTAATACAATGTTATCAAAATGTTGATGCAGTTTTAGATAACTAATTCTTATTTTTAAAGGTAATACAAAGTTTTGGTATGGGGTCATGAATTTGGTTCAAATAAATATATTGGAAGCATATACGATCCTACAATATTCAGTGTTCGTTTTTACGGTCGAAATCGACTCTAAAGTTATGAAATTGTAAATAATAAACATTTAATGTTGAATAGCTCCCTCTTAAGGTCAAGATATTAATTATGCTATAAAACAATGCTTATTGACTAAAATCGACCGATTAGCTATTGTCGTTCGGAAATTATATACAACAACTACATACTCTGAGATTTTCATGGTCGCAGCTACCATTGTACGGCCGTAGGAGCTATTTGAAATTTATCAAATTTACCGGGAGCACCGGTAAATCTTTATATTCAATTTTTCTCGAAAGCAGAAGTGTTGTAGGGGCTAAAATTTCTGGCGTTTTAATACATCCACAGGGGCATTCAAATATATCAAAATTGTAAAAAATCACTATCCACCCATTTTTCAAAATTTCCCAAAACTTTGTAATACCTTTAATATAAGGAAATTACACATATCCCACTAATCTGTATATGGAACACCAAATATGGAAATATACAAATCACTGTAATTATTTCCCATAGTGAATAAATGACATAAACTGAATTGTGAAATGAAAAATCGATGTAAAACAAAAAATTCGATGTAAATCTCGAGACGCAGTGGTTGATATCGAAGAGATCTGTTAACATGATAACGTGTTTGACTTACGTTAACTACATGAACCTATTTCATATAACTCTGTAAATAACAACTAGGCCTACTACAATTCTATTTTCGAATATGGCCCTAAGTCACTGACCATTTCATGAAACAGGGCCCAGAGCTAATGTAAGTACGTTTATTCAAAAGGTATTTATCGTTGAAGTATGATTAAAGTATTAAACGTATAACTATGATCATATCGTCAGAAGAATCCTCGTGATAGTATTAATATGTTTTAAATATGAAGTATAAAAATGTATTATTCACATGACATGAACTATTACTATGAATTCTCTATCATGTCTATATAAAGGTAAGAACAAAAATGACAACCTGTATTTTGTGGATATCATTACTTTGGGAATGTCGTAACAGGTGCTGGCCAAGTTTTCTGCTATTGACTCACAATACAAAATGATAGGTGAAATTCCTATAAAAGCTCCGACTCGGAGTTTCATTATTTCGACTGAAGGGAGAGAGATAGAGTGAAGGAGAAAGAGAGAGAGAGAGAAAGAGAGAGAGAGAGAGGGTGTGTGTGTGTGTGTGCGTGGGGGTATTCCATAGTTCGGGAGCAGCAGTTGTGAAGGCTCTATCACTATCTCGCTCTATAGATATACGTTCAGATAGGTAAGGAGGAGCCAGAACGTGGATGCATTTGTAGCGGCTCTTACATTCGCCCTACTTTCACCGTACATTCATGTCTCCTGTATTTTTCCATCACGGTACTTATTTATATTCATTATTCGGACCACGTGTGTTTTTCCTTCCAATCGAGCACCGTGGTTCCGCGCATTCCTTCACCCGCGTATTTTCATCACCACGAGGTTTTCTTCACTCCCGCTCTCACCTCGGTCGAGTCAACACGTTTCTGTGATCCTCTCTCTACACTCGAGATTTCTTCCGTGCCTATCACCTCTTGCATGGCACGTCAACTTTCACTGCCGTCTCCAGCGGGTTGGCAGTCTTCCAGTGGAATAGTTTAAATCAAGACCCGACATGGCCCCTTGGTTCTCCGCTGGGAGCTGCCAGTAAATTGCTCCGGTAGATTCTTCACCTCCACACGAGCACGACTCACATAGCTCGTCTGAACTCTGAACAGTTCATCATCGAGTTCGATTCACCGCAGCTCTGATGAACTTCACATCAATTCTTCACCCCCACACGAGCACGACTCACATAGCTCGTCTGAACAGTTCATCATCGAGTTCGATTCACCGCCGCTCTGATGAACTTCACATCAATTCTTCACCCCACACGAGCACGATCGACTCACATAGCTCGTCTGAACAGTTCATCATCGAGTTCAATTCACCGCAGCTCTGATGAACCACACTTCAATCAAAGTTCGGCTCATCCGACTCATCGAGCGACTCACTGCTTCGCAGCGGCACCGACTTTGTTTTCGTCATTTCTTCCTTGGCCTCCGACATCAAGCGACTCACTGCTTTCGTCATCGAGCGCCACACATCTCTTATCTTCTCTGCTCGCCTCGCCTGAGAGCTTCTCCATCTACATTCATCATCATCACGAGCGTCGGCGACGACATCGCGTTCTTCACGGTTCTTCAACCACGTCAACGAAGTCGCGTTTCCGCCATCAAGCCTCCGCACATTTCATCGCGTGAGCCCCTTCCTTCGTTCTCAACTCTCTTCATCTTCATTGGACTTTCGACTTCATTTCTGCTATTGTCGTAAGCTCTATTTATGTACATCGCATTTATTCACGTTCATTATGTACATCGCATTTATTCATGTTCATTATCATCATTGATCATTATGTTAGCTCCGTGCAATATTCACATTTACCATTTATGCATTTTCATTCTGATTCTTCGGCTTGTGCTTGGCTACACTTTGCAAGTGTACGGCCAGCCTCATCAGTACCCAATAAACTAACGAAAAGGGAATACTTTCTTTCATGTATTTTATTGTCAGAGCAACCTTGCTTCCTCGTAGCTAAATAAAAATCAGAGTTATGTTGTGTGACGAGTGAACACGCTTTCAAATATCCATTCACAATACCACACACTCATATCTCTACACATTTGAAGGTGAGAATGAGTATTTTGTATTGAATCTAGGTTCTGATGGGTAGCCAGTTCAATACTATTAACGAAGGATAGGTTTCATGTGACAGAACTTGGGTGAGCCTGTGGCAAGTCTAGCGATAGCGTTTTGAATTTGCTGTAGTTTTCTCAATGTAGGTTGCAGTGACAACATAGAGTAGACCATTACAGTAATCCGAGCGACTGGTGATGCAGACATAGTAATGATAATAGTGTAAGCTTATAGAGCGCACATACCGTCCAGGGACGCTCGTGGCACTACCCCAGCAACAGCTCTCTTTAAAACAAGTAAAGTAAATGTTTATTTTAATAATAGATTAATACCATCAGAAACTCAAAAACAATTTTTCAACATTTGCATCACCTATTTCGATCCTCAGCTCCGCCCGGTGGGGCCCGGTGCCCTCCAGCTGCTCCATTTACTGACAATTCTAGGGACTAGCCCAGTCAGCACACGATTCACAGGAGCTCTAGCATCCGAGGCCAACAGGCCCGACATGGGCAGCCAATGAGACTAAAGGGTGATAACTACATGTAATTAAGTTAAGATATATATATATATATATATATAATAAAATATTAATTATGGATTAAGTGAAATAAACTTATACAACTTCAGGAAAAACTGGATGGAATAGGTAAGTCTTAAAGGCACTCTGTCCTCCTTGTATAGCTACTTGCTCCCTCTATATAGAAAACTTCCCAAATCGGTGCCTGTTGGTCCCCCATGACCCTCTTTTTCTTATGTTCAATGAGAGCTGAGTTAATGAGATAGCCACCTGTCACAGTGACCTCGCTGGCTTTAATATATTGTGGCAAAATTCCATGGAGGGCCCGATAAACAAGTAACATCATTTTGAATAGTACAGCGAAGTGATGGAGGAGCTTATTCCATAATTTGGTTGATGCATGCGAAAAAGCATTGTCTCCCCACGAATGATGGGTACGGGGAATTCGCAGCAAATTATCAATTCCAGATCTTAAGGTACGAGTTGGATTGTAGGGGTGTAGTGAGTCTTTAATATATTGTGGCAAAATTCCATGGAGGGCCCGATAAACAAGTAACATCATTTTGAATAGGACCCTTTTTTCTGGACAGGTAGCCAGTGAAGAAAGCGTAATATAGGCGTAATGGAGGAATTCCTGGTAGGAAAGTAGGGAGTCTTGCATTGGAATTTTGGAGGGATTGCAGTCTGTCTTGCTTCTGTTTGGTTAGTCGAAATAGGATAGAATTACAAAAATCTAAGCGAGATGAGATTAATGCATTAATTAATTGTTCACATGCTTGTTGAGTCAAAAAAATTCGGATGAACCCTAGGTTCCGCTGTTGATATCTCACTCACAGACTCTGATATACTAGATACATGTTCAATAAATGACATATTATTTCCAAATATCACACCAAGGTTACGAACCTTTGAGGCTGGCTTTATAACTTTGCCACCTACATGCAAACCTAAATTATCATGATTAGCTTTCAGTAAAAAATTCTTAGAGCCCAACAATGATAAACTCAATTATATTTTCATTTATTATAAGACCGTTGGAATCCATCCAGCCTTTCATGTCATGAATACAGGCTTCTAAAGTTCTCCTAGCATCGGCAATTGCATCTAAGGAAGGATGTACTGAAACGAACAGCTGAATGTCATTGGCGTAACAATGATACTTTATATTATGCTTTCGAATTATTGTACTGATTGGCTGAAGGTAGACATAAAACACTAACGGGGCATCAACAGACCCTTGTGGTACACCATATGAGAGATAAGTTTTGTCAGATTGAGAATTATTTACAGAGACATACTGGGTTCTTTTGTAAATGTATGATGGAAACCCCCGCAACGCAGCGCCTGCAACCCCAAGAGAGTGTATTCTCTTAACAATAATTATGTGGTCAATAGTGTCGAAAGTAGCATAAGCATAGTTGCATAAGAAGAGTAATATTAACTTTGTCCATTTCAGACCAGATACTGTCCACAAGATTAGTTTAATGGATAAGAGTGAGAAATGACCCCTGGTCGAGATACTTGCGAATTCGACGGAGGTTGTGAAGATGGAACAAGTCTGCCTTGCATGTCATTAGGACATCACGATTCATGATCATGTTCGAATTAAACATGCAACCCAAGGTTCTTGACATGAGATGCAGAGAAGATTTCAATATTGCCGAACCTAATGTGGGGGGGGGGGGGGGGTGTTGATCTTCTGCACTTGCTGACGTGTGCCAGTGAGGATGAACTCTGTCTT